GTAAACGATAGTAATTCAAATGATCATTAATTTATATGATGCAAATAGCAAAGCACAGAAATTCCAATTATGCAAATAGCACAACAAAAGAGAAAAAAATTGCTTTGTCCTTGTATGCAATGGGAGCAACGAACAATGTAAAGAGAGGGAAAAAAGTAGCGAACAATGTTGGGCGAAAATGGATTGCGGCAAGGGTTTTGTTTTTTAATTGGTTGTGCGGTGAAAGAGTTATAAAGATAAGAAGTGATAATTTTGTCATTAAAAAATGTTTAATAAAATGTCCTATCTCGTTCTAGTTGGTTCCACCTTTTTTTCGGGAACAAAAGTGTTCCACTATTTTAATCATGTGTCTCGTTTTGTTCTCCTTTTTAATTTCATCAAATAGGGAATAGGACTCATATGTCCTGTCTCATCCCATTCTACGTGTATTCCAAACGCTACCTTATATTAAACATATTATGCATGTTTTGCTTTGGTGCCAAGTTTTATGCAAATTATATTTGTCAGATCATGCATGTTTTTAGAGGGAGTCTCGTATGCATTGCATATAGCATCTAAGTTATATACATGCTATATTACCCATATGATATGATATGCATGATAAAAATTAGATGAAACAAACATGTTATGCCATATATAAAATACTTCTGTATACTCTTATTTATCTCTAAAATCTCTTAAATGCTATGATTATAACTCATAAGATCTATATGCATACTTAGTCTAACATGCTCTAAGAATTAAAATTCAATATCATTCTTGCTGCTCTATTATGATCACTTAATCTGTCTCAAATGCTATATCGAATGATGGTAGAACTAAGTGAATGCAAGAAAATACATGTCATTAAAGAATGTACTTGTAAAAATCAATTTGCTTGAATAATCTTACAACATCTTAGATGTGTGCCTTACATCACTTTGATAAAACAATCCTAAATCACTTATGCACTTTTAGGAAAAATAAATTGAAAAAGCCTTTCAAAAGTTAGAAAGTCAAAACACCTTTAAGAAAAATATCTTCTAAAAGATGAAAACATTTCAAAAAGTCAAAAGTCTTTTCGTCTTACCAAAACAAATATATTTTCTTAGACAAAGAAAAATAGACATTTCAAAAATTCAAAAACAGGTTTGTCATCATAAAAAATGGGGAGACTGTTATGCCAAAAGATAATCTTGAATCCCTCAATTTTTGAAGTTTTAATGTTACCAAATGAAATGCTTTACGAGAAAAATATATTTGAAAATGTTTATCAAACAAAGTGTAAGACGCATATCATTTGTAAGATGATGTGAAACAGATGAAGCATACAATCTTTCTCATATACATTAAACATTTACTATTTATTGAGAGTAATGAAAAAAATCATTTGAATGTCTTATTCCCTAACAAATTGAACTAGAAATCTTCTTGGAACTCACAAATATATTAAAGAGAACAAAATCATGTTGTCCATCAAAACTAAGGACAAAGATCCCTAAAATCATAGAGAAAAGCATAAAAAGACATTATTGTTATTGCTTTATGTTAACATTGCTTCTGTAAGCTCTGTTTGGTATGAAAAAATGATAAGTAGTTTTCTTGATCAGATAAGAGATACCATTTGGTGAAATACATTTAATTCTTATTAAATGAGTCAGTGGTTATTTCCCATCACAAGGAAAAAAGTTAGAGACAGACGAAGTAAACTTGTGAGCTAGACTCAAAATGTTGCAATGATCATTTTCTCCAAGCTACCATATAAGAAGATTCAAAGCTCAAAAAGAAGACAAAACACATAGATACATTTGTACAAAAACATACACTCTCTATAAATTATACTTGTGTATAATCTTCAGTCTTTCTTGTAAAAGTTTACTGCACTATATTGGTTGTATAACGTATGAGTAAGATAAACACACATCCTTCTATCCTTCATAACCATTGTTATAAGTTTGAGCCTAGAGAGACTAGTTTGTAAAACAATACTTGGTTGAGATTGGAGAGGCTTGGTTGAAAAGAATACTTGGTTGTTAAGCCTAGAAAGGCTTATTGTGAAAATAATACTTGGATAATGGCTTGAAGAAGTTAGTCAAAGAACACTTGTTTGAGCCAGAAGTGGCTTACTATAAAATCAAAAGAGGATCTTGAATCCCTCGAGAGGTTATGAGTTTTAATGATAACAAACATACTTTTCAAGAAGACTACTTCAAACGAAGCAAACATCATATTCCGTCTGTAAGACGAAGGTTATCAGATGAAACACATAATCCAAATCAATGATATATTTATTTCTTGTTATGAATTCAAATTATCTTTTAAGAGCATTGAATACTTTATTCCTTAATAGATCGAATGAGGAAACTTCCTCGAAGATACCAAATTGCTAAAAATGGAAAGTCAAATCCTTGTGTTAGAAAGAAAGAGAAAGATCCCATATATCATGGAAAAGTAGACAGGAACTCTAAACATGACGCACTGCTATGATTTAGCCACTACTTTTCACCTTATCTAACAAAATAATGATAAGTACTTGCCAAGATTAGATAAGAGATGAACATCCTCACGCAAAGCATTAAATGCTTGCAGCAATGACTAATGTACTCTCTCTCTGTCTCTAATCTCAAAGAGAAGACAAACAAAACATCCTAAGAAGATTTTTCAACGATCATTTTCTCCCAAGCTACTATATAAGGGATTCTCAATCAAGACATAAAAAAGAGAAAGAAGTGAAGAAGGACAAAGATATACAATACGAGAAACAGGAAGGGAAAAGGAAAAGAAACGAAGTTCGTACCTTATAGATACATTTTATCTTGTACAATTTATTTGTGCTTAATTTTTATAGTATCACATCTAGAAGAGACGAAGCTATCCTTGTAACTCTTTTCAAATCTATTTGTAAGGTTGAGCTTGAAGAGGCTTGCTCAAAAGAATATTTGGTGTTGAACCTGGAGAGGCTTGTTGAAAGAATACTTATTGTTTGAGCCTAGAGAGGCTTGGTTGAAAATAATACTAGGTGTTGAGCCTAGAGAGGCTTGTTCAAAGAATACTTAGTGTTTGAGCCTGAAAAGGCTTGGTTAAAAGAATACTTGGGTAGTTGCTTGAATAGGCAAGTCAAAGACTACTTAGGTTTGAGCCAGAAGTGGCTTATTTAAAGAATACTTGTATCTTTTGAAAGATAGTGGAACTCAATCTGGTTTGATTGAGAACTGGACGTAGTCTTTGAGTTTGAGATGAATCATTATAAAAGATTTTTGCTCCTTCTTTTGTTGCATTCTAACACTTTGTCTGTAAAGCTATTTTCTCTTCATTGTGGAAAAAGTGCGAGTTTTTGATATACACTATTCAACCCTCCTTCTAGTGTGTATCTTTTTCTCCAACACTTATTAAAAGAATACTTGTAACTTTGCTGAAAATTAGTGAAACTTAATCTGGTTGGATTGAGAACTGAACGTAACCTTAATGGTTGAGGTGAACTAACATAAAAATATTCTATGTTCACTGATTACTCTTACTGATTCTTTATCTATTACAGATACTACTTCACGTACTTGAAATCATGAGTTTTTAATATACACTATTCAACCTCCCTTTCTAGTGTCTATCTTTTCTCCTTAATAACTTTCTCTCTTGAAAAAGCTAGAAGCAAAATGTTGTTGTCAGATCTAGTGTAGAGGTCAAATATCGAGCTATGGTAGCTAGTCAAGAGCTTATATGGCTCAAACAATTGCTTCAGGATCTAATGTTTAGAGAGGTCACAATGATGCCACTTATATGTGATAACCAGGGCACCATGCATATTGCCTCAAATCAAGTAATCCATGAGAGGACAAAACATATTAAAGTTGATTATAACTTTGGCAGAGAAAAAGTCATGGCAAGAGAAATATATACTAGTTTTGTCAATTCTAATGATTAATTAGCATACATGTTCACTAATACACTAGGGGGTCCTTAAATTAAATACATATGTAACAAGGTTGATCTATACCACCTATATACTCCAGTTTGAGTGGGAGTGTTAAAATCATGTAAATATAGTAACCATGTATAATATGATTAATTATATTAATTATATATTTATATAATTAACCAAAAACAAGTAACTGAATATTCTATAATTATGTACTGTATTATAAATTCAATAACTCGGTTGTATTTTAAATACACGGAATTCATCCTACAACAAGAGTATCATAGTTTATTATTGCCAATGAATTGATCAAAGTACTATGTACAAGAGTCAATCAACGTTATAATAACGAGGAAAACATGATGAGTGAAGAGTTGGACATATAATTGTTTTGATCTATTTATCAACGCACAAAAGCTAAAAAAGTATATCACGTTCCTTATCCAACAAAACTTGGGGACATTATTTATAGACCGGTAGCATTTATTTTCATCTATACTATAAAGGTATTTTTACATAAGGGCACATTTTTTTTTATTACTTTTATATATACTTCTTTAATCTTATTAATATGTACTTTTTAAATCTTGGGGCCAGTTATCCCACCCTTGTATATGCAGCCGCGTTAAATCTTGGGGCAAACTCTCTCACTCTTTGAGGTGCCTCCAACGTAGCGAGAAGATTAGTCACTGCTATCGGCGGTGGATACTCTAGGGACGAATAAAAAAAAAAAAAAAAAGACGATACAATATTTATTTATTTATTTGTTTTATTTTTTAAGTAAACACAAAGTGTTTTTTCCTTCTAGTTATTTATAATAATTATAGCATTTGTTAACTATATTTTATTATTGGGAATATTTATATTATATTATCTTTATTATTATTATTTAAATTTTATAATAATAATTATTTTCGGTATGATATTCGTGATGCTTATATTTAATTATATACACAGACTCATAGTATTAGTGCATTGTAGTACTTATAATATAATAATATTTTTACTATTTATAATAAATATATAATATTTATAATTAGATTTATGTGGTGCTAGCACAAAAGTGAAACATCTTTAAGATCATTAATTTATTATTGATCCCCTCGGTAGGTAATATAAAATCCTATGCAAAGCAACGGAATGCCACAAGTATCTGTAAGTCTAAAGTCTAACGAGTTAAGGAATCCAGCCATATCGTGTGCAGTGGCAAATGGGGCAATCTGGGTGGTCTCAAATTTTAGGCATAGCCACTCTATTGTATTTGTTATGCAGTGGTTTTGCTGCATCTTTTTCCACGGACCACCCATTGCTCCAACAACACAAGGACCGGGTTGGAAGGCTCCCAGGTCAAACCTTCAACATCAGCTTCGCACACTATTCTGGCTATATCACTGTCAATGAAAAATCTGAAAGAACACTCTTCTACTGGTTCATTGAGGCACTTGAAGACCCTCTCTCCAAGCCCCTTGTTTTGTGGCTCAATGGAGGCTCGTTCCACTAACTAATCGTTTTTATTTTTCTTTTTTATTTATTTATCTTTGGGTTCTTCGTCCGTTACTCTTGTTACTATCACTATTGACATGAAACTTTTTTGGTGTGTTTGCAGGGCCTGGATGTTCGTCCATTGCTTTTGGTCAGTCAGAGGAAATTGGGCCTTTTCATATAAAGTCAGATGCCAACACCCTTTTTCTCAATCCTTATTCTTGGAACCGAGGTGAGGCGACTCAACCAACCTACAAACTTGTCAAACATATCCTTTATCTTTTAGTTGTAAAGCCACTTTTTCTTTCCATTTGTATGGTCTTTTTGATGTATATTTCGCTCATAGAAATGATAGTGACACTCGTACACTGTTGCTAATACTTTCTCTACTATTGGTTCAAAATTATAAATTTTGATGAATATTATTACTAAATTAGGAGAGACTCTATAAATGAGATGTGAGACCTACCAAACTTGTGATTTCCAATGAATTTCACCTAACAATAAAGAAAGTGTTAGTAAGAGAGTGTCACTAGCATTCTTCTGTGATGCATCCATTGGGTATGGCGTTGCCCACGTGTCCTCGCATCCCTGAATTCTCATCCCCCCAACTGTGTCTCTCTATCGTTTACAATGCTTATTTGGTAAGCAAAAGTGTTTTCTTGTGCTTACCAGCTACAGCACATGTTTTCACTTTTCTAAAGGTGTGTCTATGTGCTTATATGTATTTATTTAAACATCTGACTGCAGAATTGTCAAGGAGTTGTTATTTATATTGAAATAACTGCAGTAGGAATCTTACTGGTGCTTATAATCATGTACTGACTTTTATAAGCAGAAATAAACCAATAAATAATATATCCTTCACGAATGCAGTTATCTGTAACCACTTTTTCTTTTTGTAGTTGCCAACATTCTTTTTCTTGACACTCCTGTTGGGGTTGGATTTTCATATTCAAATAATGAATCTGACCTGCTGAACAATGGCGATAAGAGGACAGGTAGTACTCTTTTAACTCAGCATCCTCTATTTCAGCTACAGGCATGCACGCACATATTAGGTTAAAGCAAGGAGCTAATCTTTACCATTCAGTCTTACATTGATGGTTGATATTAGCTGCTCTCAATCTCTCATCTGATACTTATAACTTTGTGTTATTTAAATTAAGAAAAATTTATATGCAGCTGAGGACAACTTAGTATTCCTATTGAAGTGGTTTAAGCGTTTCCCTCAATATAAAGGAAGTGATTTTTTTATCAGTGGTGAGAGCTATGCAGGTAAACAATGCGCTCATTATCTATTGTAACAGTAGTTTTAAAGTCATTGTTTGCTAGTAGTGGTTATGTCTTGGCACTTCATACTGAGGAGAAAAAAAGAATGTTGATATGAAGACGTGTAGGTGTTTGAGTTCTTTGATTCTGGTCTGTTTATTTTATTTAGATTTTATAATGCTCTAATTCATAGTGGTCAATCATTAATCCTGTGTATCAGGGCATTATGTTCCTCAACTTAGCCAAGTTATTGTAAAGTACAACTCGGATACTAAGGAAAATGCTATAAATCTGAAAGGTTTCATGGTATGGCCTCCAATCTTTCATAAAAATAATTCCTTGGTTTATGCTTTTTCTCATGATTAATTTAATCTATACATCTCTGCTGCAGGTAGGAAATGCTCTAACAGATGATTTCCATGATCAACTGGGGATGTTCGAGTTTATGTGGTCAAGTGGTTTGATTTCAGATCAAACATACAAGCTTTTGAACCTACTTTGTGATTTTCAGTCAGTTGAGCACCCCTCAGATTCATGTGAAAAAATTTGGGAAATTGCTTATAATGAAATTGGAAATATAGACCCATACAGTCTCTATACACCTCCGTGCAATGCTAATGTTAGCCAGTTAAGTCAGCTGGTGAGAAGAAAACATGTGAGTGAACATATTTTAAATTTCATAGTATATTATACAGATCATTTTGAAGTGTTTGTAGTACTGATCATTATTGATGTGTTATGTCATGCTTCAGAGAATTGGTAGACTCAGAGGAGATTATGATCCATGCACCGAATACCACTCCATTGAATACTTCAATAGACCTGAGGTCCAAACAATTCTTCATGTTGATCCAGATCATAAGCCAGCTACATGGGAGACCTGCAGGTAATGATCATTGATCACTAGAAAAACACTTGAAAATTTCTATTTGCTTCCACAATATATGTTAATGTGATTCTAAAAAGGTTCTGTTAGTTTTAAAAATAGAAGGTAAAACAATTAGGTGAAAGCTTCAAATACTTTATTACTATTATGTGAACTGCAAACAGTTTTGATTTAGAGATGAGAAATGCTACCTCTCTCCTATGGCTACAGCCACCCCAAATTACTTACACTAATGCCCATACCCCCTCCGCCACCACAACCCAAACTGCTTATACTAATGGTGATTCCATACCCCCTCTGCCACCTTCTCTTCCATATTCCAGCATCCTCATCAATTCCCGGTTGCCAAGTGTCTATTCTGTTAGCCACAATGCCACATCTGTTTAGCATAACAACCCACCCAGTGCGCTAGAGTTAGAAAGGCCCATGCCCTTATCTGAATCAAACAAGAGCGCAACTGTGCTTTGGCATTTGATGTGGTTATACTAAATGCATTCCTCATTCATTGCTGAACAAGATCAAACAGCGAATAGAAGGTGGTTTGTTATTCTGATCTGTTTAATTGTTTAAAAATATTTCTTTTTAGCATTCATCTGTTATGCTTTCTTATATAGTACTCATTATTTTAAATTAACAAATTGAGAACCCCTGCAACTAAATCATTTGGAGATTTTGTGGCCACAGCATAAAATTTATTACTGTACCTTTTATTTTTATATATATATATATATATATATACATGTGTGTGTGTGTATATATATATATATTACACCATCTTTGCACATGTTTTGGTTTCTTTTACCAAATTTACAGAGATCAACATACTCTTATTCTCATTCTTTTCAGTGAATTGGTAAATACAAACTGGAAGGATTCTCCAAGATCAGTGCTCAATATTTATCATGAACTTATTCACATGGGATTGAGAATATGGGTGTTCAGGTTACGCTTATTTTATAATATCTATATATGACTACATATGTGTACACTTGTTTGTATGATGTCATTCTTGTATACAAGTAAATTGAACTAGGAAGGACTTGAAAGTAATTCTAAATAATTACGTATTATGTTGCCTTAGACAGTCTGCTAATTACTTATGATCTGAAAAGAATGCATTTTAAGATTTACCCCTCTTGATCAAATTCATGATTTTGCTTCTTATTTTTGTCAGACACTTAAACATGGAAAGAAAAAAAAAAAAATACGTAATAACATCTGATCAGTAGATCACCTTAATGTACCTTATCATTTCAATGTATTCCCATGTCTATTATTTTCTTTCAAGTACGGTAATTGCTTTAGTTAGTGTTGTAATTAATGTGTAATGGACCTGAAATATATTAAGAACTATTTATTTAACAAATCTCCTCAACTAGAAGCATATGTAACAGTAGTATGAACATATTTTAACATATGTAACAGATCTCCTCACATGATAGTCTAGAATAATCATATTGCTTTTATTTTTTGTTGGTCCCATGTCAGAACCAATGTTTCGGCATATATCATTTTTGTAACTTTGTTAGCTCGAGAATGCGAGGCTCAAACCAGGTGGCTTTCTGTGGATTTTATGCGTTAAGTTGTCATATTGACACAGTTTGCTCAAAGCTGTCTTGTTTCTTGTTAACTAAATAATTAAGGAAGTTGTATAGAAAATTTTGTGATCAATTGAGGTATAATAAATATTTTAGTGTAGTTTTGGTTACTTCATTGCATAAGAATTTCCATCATTCATCTCTACTACGCCACAATCTTCCCCAACCCGAGCATATTCATTTCATTTCTTTCGTAGCAGAGAAGGAAAACCTTAGCGCACCTTTTCAAGGTACCTTCATCTTCTTTTATTTTCGATTATTAGGGTTTTGTGTTGAGTTTTAGCGATCATCGGATTTGTCGAGCCTTTTGATTTTGATCTTGGTTTTTTTTTTTCCTCCAAGGGTTTCCCCTTCACAAAGGATTTCTCCTTTCACAAAGAGCTAATGCTCAATTTACAAATGTGAACAAATCTGAATCCTCCCCTCTACCAAGTAACCTCTTATTTATAGATGTGATGGGCCTAGCCCATGATATCTTTATAACTAATAACTATTCTAATTCCCTTTATTCTATATCCTAACAATACCACCCCCTTGAAAATCAACCTTGTCCTCAAGGTTGGAATCTGAAAACCAAAAAAAAAATGACATCAAAACACACTATAGTTGGGACTAAAGTGAAACAACACCCCTAAAAAACTACTTTTTCATAGGTTTGGGCAATTGGACCCACTTTGTAGAATTCCAAATCTACCCCTTCCTCTTTCTCATCCTCTAGAGCCAAATCACTTGCTCTAACAGAATGTGTCTCTTTGTTGTCTACCCATGATGGATCAGCAACGAACCCTTTGGCCACTGCATACAAACCCATGTCTGGCGGCTTTGGTGGTAGTGGAGATGGTGGACTTCGTATAACTTGAATCACAATTGTTGCCTTCGTACTTTCCTTTTGCCTAGGCTCCTTTGTCCTGTTGTCATCCATAGATGCAACGATGTTTAATGATGAAGGCTCGCCTAGAAAGTGGTCTTCCCCACCACATATAGTGTTGTTTTTGATGATTGAAACTTCTTTATTTCTGTTTTCTAACTTCAAGAATTGCAACAGGTTACTGTTACACCTTAGACTGCTACCCTTCATGTTAATTCTCTGTTCTATGCTTCCATCAAAGGTGGGTAACTCAACTTGTTTTTCCCAAGAATGCACCAGGTCACCTCTGCAATCTGACTCACTGCCTTTGGTATTTTCTGCATTTTCTTGAATCTGTCCAGAACTGGGTTGCTGGTGCCAATGTCTTCTGTCAAGTCCTGTTTTTGCAATAGGTGATCAAGATCCTCCTGAAGCTTATCTTTTTCCCCAAGTTTTGTTGTGATCTCATTAATGAGTTTCTTGATCTTTGAAACCTCATTGAGTCTCTTCTTAATCTCAGATTTTTTGCCACCATAATTCTTGATCTTCAAACTTTCTTTGTCCCTTTTCTTTTCTTGCTTCAAGAATCTTTTGATCAATGATGTGGAGAATGACTCCCAATCAGAATCTAGGTTCTTTTGGCTCCAAAAGTAGAACCACCGCATTGCTACTCCTTTCATGCTCATGAAAGCATATTGCAACTTATGGAAAGAATGAATTTCTTGCACTTCAAAGAATTTCTCAGCCTTAGCAATCCACCCCAATGGGTTTGTACCCACAAAGACTGGCAGCTTCCCCTTGGACCAAATATATGCTTCCTCCATCTCTAGTAACACTGGCTCTCCCTCGAAGATCCGGCAGGTCGGACCAATTGTTAGGAACTAAGAATTAGGAAAGAGAAAGAAAAGAAAGATTTTATTGAATATGTTAAAAAGAACAAAAAATAGGAGAAAAATATCTCCTCCAAGGGTTTCCCCTTCACAAAGGATTTCTCCTTTCACAAAGAGCTAATGCTCAATTTACAAATGTGAACAAATCTGAATGCTCCCCTCTACCAAGTAACCTCTTATTTATAGATGTGATGGGCCTAGCCCATGATATCTTTATAACTAATAACTATTCTAATTCCCTTTATTCTATATCCTAACAACTACAATTTCAAATTTGATTTCCTACGTGATGGTTTTTGGTTTTGACAATTTAAGGATAATCTCTTTCGAAGTCTAAAATCAATAATGAAAGTCCCGAAGGCATGTATTTTGGAACACAACGTGCTTGAAATCAGTATTCTATCTCTTTCTTTCTCTATTTTAACATTTTTCCTCAACTTATTTTATGTTCCCTTATTTCAGTGGTAACACAGACACGGTAATACCTGTGACATCTACTCGCTATAGCATAAATGCTCTCAAGCTTCCTACCGTGAGTCCTTGGCGTGCATGGTATGATGATGGGGTGGTAAGTGATCCTACAATAAGTGATTTGTTTAGTCTTCTATTTCATATGACATGGTTACTCTAAGTTTATTTTCTATCATGTCGCTTGATAGTTATGGTTCACTTCACTTAGGTGCACTGCTGATAGGGAGCAAATAACTACACTATTACTACTACTAATATTCTATCATTAAAGAACTACAAGGAAGATAAAATAACATTGATATTTTTCATTCATTCTATTGATAGAGGCATACAAAATATTTATAAAAGAAACACACACACAGAGAATCACAACAAAGTTCTTTCTAAAACCTACCTGAATGAGATATTATTTATTATTATTAGAAGGCAAATAAAGATATATCAATACTGATATAATGGGTCTAACTGGCCTAAGGATAGAAAATGAATCATAACTGCTGCGTGATATAAATGGAACAGGTAGGAGGATGGACCCAAGAATATGCAGGCCTTACTTTTGTGGCTGTGAGGGGTGCAGGGCACGAAGTTCCTTTGCATAAACCAAAACTTGCTCTAACACTGTTCAAAGCCTTCTTAGCAGGAACATCAATGCCCAATCTTGAACTAGTCAGTGCCTCTTGAAATTTACGTTTACATTTACATTGGAACCTTCCTCCATAATAGTCTCTCCCCTTCAAATAATTTCTCTATTGACTGTATTTGACTGTCACATGGGGAATCTGTTTTTTTTTTGCCACGGTTGACGGCTCTTTCACGCGTAACTCGATTTGTTTTTTTCATCATTTTAATATTGCGTAAGCCAGACTCGTGCTATTCATTTGTCTTCAACTTTTGAATTTTGAACAGAAAATCACATGTTTTCATCTAATTGGATTTTTATACTGTGACAACTAGCCTAAATCTTGAAATATGTTTGTCATTACGTAAAATTCAATCAACATTTAAATTTGATCATAAATAAAAGAAACTAAGGTAGTACAGTACAGTGATTTGTAAGGTTAATTTCATAAGGTCGATGTCAAAGCAAATAAATTATTAAGCCGAGATTAATAGAGGATAGTTGACCATGTCTTTAGATGAACTACTTTAAGATTCCCCCAAATTAGAGTAAAATAGACCATGTCTTGTTGCTTAGCGCTTAGCAAAGCAAGAATCTTGGTATATCTCAACGCTACAGAAATAATTACATAGTTGATGAGTCGAATGAGCACTAGTGGAAATAGGACAAGTTTGTTGTTCCAAAGAAAAGAATTTAGATCTCACCAATTATCCCAATCTTTTGAGTATTAAGCTTAGCATTATTTATACTTGATTTGTGATAACAAAATGAAAAGGATATTATCAAATTTGAATCGACTTCTATTAAGATCTATAAATAAAAAGTCCAAATCTCATTTAAACAAATATTACTAAAACTTGAATTATAATTATCTAAGGAAACGAGAAGTTTTAATTTGACATGTACAGTATTATTTCCAAAAATTATAATCAAATCCACAACTTAAAACATGTAGCTCGCTACAAGGTCGTGTTTACTGCAAGGCCATTTAGGCAATACCTTAGGCTTCAAAAAAATAATTTTATGTATATTATAATCAATTTTTAGACTATAATTCATTATCAATAGTCAATACAAAATATCAAGTAAAAAATATAACTCTAATTTTAAAATTTTCAATAAAAAACTATAAGATTAATATAAAACTTGATAGGAATCCAAGAGGTGATATATTGAAGGAACCAAGAGGAATGGGATGATGGACCATGGGCCAAGGGTCCAATCTCTAGACTATGGCCACCTTGAAGACCAGTGGACACTTTGAAGACCAGTGGGCTTTCCAAGTCCAAGGTACTCTTCAATTTGGACCACTCTATCATGAAGAGAAGGCATAGTTCAAGTTGTAAATATCTTGTCAAAATGAAGGCATTTCCTTTTAATTTGGATGGTGCTGCAAAAGGTTGGCTTTACTTTTTACCAGCAACCATCACTATATGGCATGAGATGAAGAGATTATTCCTTGAAAAAATTTCCTTGCCTCTAAAACTATAGTAATTAGAAAAAAGATTTGTGGAATAAGGTAACAAAATGGTGAGAATTTGTATGCGCACTAGGAGAGATTCAACAAGTTGTGTGTCACTTGTCCTCAACACCAATTTAGTGAGAAATTGTTACTACAATATTTCTATAAGGGGCTGATATTGATGGATAGGAGCATGATTGATGTAGCTGGTGGAAGTGCATTGATGGATAAGACACCACTTGCTACAAGGCAACTCATTACAAACATGGCTGCTAACACTCAACAATTTGGATTCAGAGAAGCTGTTAAATGAGTAAATGAGTTGGCAACTAGTGCTAGTGTTGTTTCTGGTACACATAATCAAAGGCTGGAAAATAAGTTGAATGAAATGACTATCATGGTGAGGCATCTAGAAATTGGCCAACAACAATAGGTAAGTGTAGTAACCGAGTTTCTAACAAGAGTATGTGGCATTTGTGCTTCCAAAGAACATCCTTTAGATGCATGTCCTACTCTTAAAAAAAAAACAGATGCTAATGTTTTTGGAATGTACACTAGCCAACAATATAGACCACCACAGCAATAATAAAATTATAATCCATACTCTTAGACATACAACCTTGGTTGGAGAGATCATCCAAACTTGAAATAGGGGCAACAGCCACAATAGCAACAACATATACCATTCCAACCTACAGGTAAGTACCAACCTCCATTTAAGCAACAACAACAACAACCTTCTTCTCCTCCTATGTAAAAGAGTAGTTTTTTATTTGAGGAGATGATGCAACAGATGGCTACCAATAACATGCAAATTCAGTAGAATATGATTGTCATTGTCCAAGATTTGAAAACTCAGATTGGACAGTTGGCCACTATAGTCAATCAACTTCAATCACAAGGTTCTAGCAATCTTCTTTCCCAAACACTCATGAATCCAAAAGGGAATGTTAAGGTCATTACCTTGAGGAGTGGGAAGGAATTACCACAACTTCCACAACAACAATCAAGTGCAGTAGAAAAATATTAAGGATGATAGTTGATGAACTTTTAGTCTTTATGAGATATGGTGGTTTCTTTTGACTGATTTGTTTGACCTTCAAGAGAGTTCATCATCTGATTGTTAACGTTTTTCTTTGTTTGATCTCCTTCAATCTACAAATATGCAAATTCCTTTTCTAGATCTCATAGTTTCCTATCATTCATTAATGCATCATTAAACTTCACATGGATAATGTCTTCTATACAACAAAGGTTTTAGAGTTGAAAACTCTACAAGCCTTTGAAGTGTCTTAATATTCAAGAAGGATACTTGTTGGAGAAAAAGATACACACTAGAAGGGAGGGTTGAATAGTGTATATCAAAAACTCACACTTTTAAAGTATAGTGAAGTAGTAAAAGCTTTGACAGACGAAGTACTGGAAAGTAATAGACGAAGGAGCACAGATCTTTTATACTGGTTCATCTCGAACACAGAGACTACATCTAATTCTCAATCTAATTAGATTGAGTTTCAATATCTTTCACAAGATACAAGTATTTTTTAAACAAGCCATTTTTGACTCAAACCTAAGTAGTCTTTGACTTGCCTCTTTAAGCAACTACCCAAGTATTCTTTCAGCAAACCTTTCCAGGCTCAACACCAAGTATTATTTTAAACAAGTCTTTCTAGGCTTAACACCAAGTATTCTTTTGAACAAGTCTCTCTAGGCTCAACTCTCATAAATAAATTTGAAAAGAGTTACAAAGATAGCTTCATCTCTTCTAGACGTAATGCTATGAAACTTATGCACAAATAGTCTACAAAGAACTATTTACAGGATTTACAATGAAATACTTCTTTGTAGTACTTCAATTTTGTGTGACTCAATGTGTTTCTCAATATGCATTTCTTAGTAAACGTTTTTGTCTTTTATTTTTAGCACTTCTCTCTCTATTCATTGTTAGAAGGCTTGATCTTTTTATAGTAGATTTGAAAAAGATGACCATTATAGCAACTTTGAGTTGAACTTTTCAATTTTTTGCTTGAATTGCTTTGTTTGTTTTCTTTGCTGATCGTAAAGATTATCATTGATGCATTTAATGCAAACATTAAATGTCTTTTAGTAAGACGTGTATCTCTTATTTGATCTTGCAGATTACTTATCATCATTTTCTTCTAAAATAAGCATAGTAAAAGTAGTGTCAGTACAGAGCAGTTGAAGTTGGCGTAGAGAATTTAATGTTACACGAGAAGTCAAACGAAACACTAGGTATTTTTAAACTAGTTCATTTTAACCATCAAGACTATGTTCAGTTCTCAATCCAACTAGATTGAGTTCCATTATCTTTAAACAAAGATCAAGTATTCTTTCAACAAACCATTTCTAGCTCAACCCTAAATATTCTTTGACTTGCCTCTTCAAGGAACTACCAATGTATTCTTTTCACAACAAGCCTCTCAAGGCTTAACAACTAAGTATTTTATAGACAAGCCTCTCCAAGATCAACCCTACAACAATATTTATAAAGGTTACAAAGATGTTGTTTCATCTCATTCAGATGTTATACAACCAATATAGTGCAATAAGCTTTATACAAGAAAGAATGAAATTTACACACACGTATAATTTACAGAATGTGTCTCTTCAAAATATGTCTTTTATTCCTTATAAACTTCAAATCTTATTTTATAATAACTTCGGAGAATATAACTGTTGCAATACTGAGTCCAACTCACTAGCTTACTTCATCTATCTTCCTTTTGAGTCCCTTAAAATGAAAAGTGTTTATTGAAGCATTAAATCTTTTATTAATTACATTTCACTACACTATCATTTCTTATCTGATCAAAGAGACTATTTATCAGCTTTAGAAACCAAATAGACTTTTTGTGGCGTGTCTCAATGAGGAACAAGTTCTGCATCAATTTTTATTACCTTTCTCCATGATTTTAGGGATCTACCTATCCTTGTTTCTTGTGTACAACATGACTTCATTCGCTTTAATATATTTGAGTCCCAATGAACTTTTTTTGTTCAATCTATTAAATTAGTCATGCACTAAATAGTCGTTACTCATAATAAATGATATGCATTTAAGACTTTATGAAGTAACATTGTATGCTTTGTCTGATGACACATCATTTGTCTAAAAGGTTGTGTCTTATGCTTCGTCTAATTTGTATTTTACAAAAATATTTTCCCTTTAGAAAAATATTCTATTTTTTATCATTAAAACTTGAAAGCTTGAGGGATATAAGATCATCTTTTAACATAAATACAATAATTCATTAGGATTATTGTATGAGTTGATTGATGACCTAATCTCACAAGTCATGTATATGGAGATATCAAGTCAAACATATAATTATGAATATTGGAGGTAAATTCTTATACTATATGGACCCACTATGAGAAGACTTCATAGTACGCTATGAGTTCTACATGTAAAAGTTGTAGACTTTGATGTTATCAAACTATTTGTGATAGGGTAATTATAAAGGCAATTAATTGGGCCCATAACGAATCAATTGAGGGATGTAATTAATTTAGAGAGGATTTGTTTCTCTTACATAACAGAAGATATGCAGGTTCAACAAGGAGACATATTAGGTCAACAATAATATATTAATAAATAGGTTAACCTAATTATATTGATGCGTCATCTTTCTTAGAGAGAAAATTAGAAAGGAGTCTTTAATAGTTTTGCTAGAGACACAAAACCCTAACCTTGTCCACCCATGGCTAGAACCAAAACCTCATCCTCTACCTTGCTCACATGGACTAAATAGAGGCACCATCTCTTTTGTTCTTGGTGCTCAAAGAGGAAG